CCTACCCCTTACCCCTACCACACCCCACCCTAAATATAAATATTATTAAGAGTATTTTTTTTATGTTGTAGATAGAGTATTTTTTTTTATTTCAACAAAATGAGTATATTCTTTTCATGACGTAGAAAAAATATTTTCTTTTATTTCAACAAAAAGAGTACTTTGTTTTTATGATGTGAAAAAATATTTTTTTTTATTTCATCAAACTAAGTATTTTCTTTCCTAGTGTAGAAAAAATATTGTTTTTCATTTTAACAAAACGAGTACTTTCTTTTCATGATGTAGAAAAAGTATGTTTCTCTCGTTTCAACAAAACGAGTACTTTCTTTTCATGATGTAAAAAAAATATTTTCTTTCGTTTCAACAACTAAGTATTTTCTAAAATAATATTTTTAATCTTGTCTTATCCATTAACCATAACTTACAAAAAGATCATTTTTCATAATATTATTATAGAGTCCATTGCTTTAGAAGCTGTGTTAACCGAATTCTCATCTCTACCATCTTTGCTCCTTTCTTCACGCTACTCTCCTTACATTTAAATCAAACAAAAAACAAGATTTCTAGGACAGAAGGAGAACCATATCTAATATTGCTACTGCCATTGTCATTGTCAAAAGTCATTGTGAAATGCAAATGTCAATGTCAATGTCAAAGGCTCAAATTCTTTTAGCACCACCAACTTTTTTGGTGTTCTTCAACTTATTAATCTTCATTTCCTCAACAGAAGCAGCACCAATATCCTTTGGCTGGGTTCAACAAGAATTCCTTAAGGCTCACAATGATCTAAGAAGCAGTGTTGGTGTTCCTCCTTTGCAATGGGATGCTAATTTAGCCTCTTTTGCACTTGATTGGGCTACTCAGCGTAAGCAGGATTGTAATTACAGGTAAGAAAAATATGGGTAAAAATCAAAAATTGTTATATTTATAACTGGTAATTGAAAAATAGCTATAGTTTCAAAAGTAATCGAAATTTAGCCAATTTTCATGTAAAGATAAAATTTGAACAAAAACACTCTTAAAAATCCGAAAATATTTCAGCATAATATGCTGAAATTCGAATTTTTTACATATGAGCTTGTAGCATAATATGCTGGAATTTTATAATGTATTAGAGTTCCATCATATTATGCTACAAGTTATAATGCAGGAGCTGAATAATCCCGCATACTATGCGGGAACTTTCCTTGTGCTGGAGTACCAACATAATATGCTAGAAGTTTATACGTAGGAGCTCCATAATCCAACATATTATGCTGGAACTTTTCGTGTTTCAGCAAAACAATGGCTATTTTTAATAACTTTGCAGACACTGACTATTTTTCAATTACCAGTCCGAAAACTGGCTAATATGTGCTATTTTTATGAAAAATATAGCCCGTGAGCAAACAATATTTAAAATCAGTTTCATGAATGACCACGTGCTTGTAACCCAAATCCCATGCCAACGAGGCAATCATGAGGGGTCGTTTGGTACACAGGATAAGGTGGTATAAAATGTGATACTAAATTTATATCATGTTTGGCATAATAAATTTATACTGTCAACCAAACATGGTATAAGCTTAGTCCCAGACTTAATCCTGAATATTTCATCTTATTCCACTTTATCCCATCAAATTTGATATTATTTTTATCCCACTTGAGACGCGAGATAAATAGCCTAGGGATTATAATCCCGAAATAATTTAGTCCGCGTACCAAAGTACCCCTAGCCTATCAAATTATAACTCGTCCAACCTTTTCAAGTTTAGACGGACGGGAGAGAACATGTATTCATTGGCGGGGTCAATTAAGGCATAATCATCTAATAACTTGGGTCAATTTGGACAGTTTAGTAGTACAAATTGACACAAAATAAAATTTATCAAAACATAAAAAAAGTTATTTCGGTTGGTTAAATATAGTCATGATAAATAAAAGAAAAAATAATTCTGCTAGCTCAATTTCGTAGTTAAATAAAGTATAAAAAAACAAATAAACAATTGAAAAAATAATTTTGAGTTGAACAAGATGGACTATAACACATTATATTGTTTAGCCTAATTGATCCGCCCATCTTGACACAAGCAAATTCTAGGCACTCAACACACTTCTTAATTCGTCCCATTTTGAGTCGGGTATCCGCTTATTTGACCAGTGGCGTATCTAGAATAGAAACTATGGGTTCATGTGAACCGAATGTTTCGTCTCAAACCATGTATATCTACCTAAAAACACATTAAATATGTACAAATAGTAGATTTTGAACCTATTAAATTAGATATAATTTGATGTAGTTCTGAATTTGAATCCATAAAATTTAAATCCTAAACTCGTTTGTGCATTTGACGCTCATAAATTTACATTTACAGGCGACATTCTACCGGGCCATATGGAGAGAACATCTTCTGGCAACTATACAAAGAGACACCTCCAACTGGTGTAGTGCAGAAATGGTTCTCAGAAAAGAAGTTTTTTGATGAGGTGAACAATGTTTGCAAATGCCAACCTGAAAAGGAAGGATGTGAATGTGGGCATTACTTGAATGTGGTATGGAAAACTACAAAGAAAGTTGGATGCAGTGGCTTTGTTTATTGCAATGATCAAAAGGGTGTTTATATTGTCTGCTCATATGATCCTATTGGCAATGTTAAAGGTGTCAATCCTTTGAATCCTGGTGATTTAACAACTAATTCCACCAACCATTGAAGCTAGTTAATGCTAATTAGGTGTTAACCTCAGTTTTTGATAACTAATTTTGGTGTATATGTTTGATCGATAAATAATGATTTTGATTTGTAATCACATTGTAAGGATCAATGAATGGAAATTGGGTTGTTTATATAAGTAGGCCGAGTGGATATACGGTGCCAAATAGATATACAAATAGTCGTTATACAAAGAATATATACAGGTATACATATATTATACATAGGTTGTTCATATATTATAAACCCGCCGACTAATTTTAATTTAAGTGATTGGGTGAGCAGCTATTTAAATTAATTTTTCGTGCCAAATTCCTTTGGATCGATTATATAGGTTCAATATATGGATTTAATAAATACATCTAAATTCATTGGGCTAAGCCTATTTAGTTGGATTATAAATGAACCCACTTTGTTAAACCCAAGATGCTACTTCGTCTTAGAAGTCTAGTTTGGTGCCACGTTTCAAATAACGTGACATACCAAGTCAAATAAAAGAGTCAAATAACATGATATGCTAAGTCAAATCTGAAGGCAAATGAAAATGTCTCAGGTGTACATATGACATGTTCCAGCCAATCAAATGTGGTCTTGTTATCACTTCAATCTGATTAATTAACCAATCAAATCAAATTAAAGGAAAAGAGGTTATCCTCGTCACAACTTTTTGCTTCCACAACTATAAATAGGAGTCATCATAACTCAGAAAATGGACCGAAATCCATAACAAGAAACAAGAGAGAACTCGTAGATCAAAGGCCATAAATTTCTCTACAAGCTTCAAGTATCCAAGCACTCAAAATTCAAGGTCAAGATCAACACATACAATTTCAAGCTCAAGATCAAAGAACAAATTAAGATTCAACAAGTACAACCTAAAATTATCTATTCGTGCTAGTTGAATTAAAGATCATTATTCGTGACAGTGTAATCCAAAACTTAGATCTAGGTTTAAATACAATTGTATTTATAGAGAAAAAGAGTTAATTAAAGTCAATATTAATATCCAAGTAATAGATCTAGTATTTTTGTGAAAAGTATTAGGTGCGTACTAAAAGATAAGAGTATCTCAGAACGATAATGGCTTAAGAGCAACTCCAGCCTTGTCCCCAAAATGGGGATAAAATGGGGAAATTTCACTCCAACCCTCCCCCATTTTTGTCCCCAAAATTGGGAGTGAATAGTTGATCACGCTCAACTATACCTTGTAAGAAGGACTAAGCGGTCGCTGCAAATATAACCCGGTTCAAGTCCGAAGTCAAATCCTACAGGGAACTAACCTATTTACTACAACCTTAAATAATGCTAATGATAAGCTCAGACAACTTCCAGATGCAATAGTTTTATGAATAATCAGTGGAAATTATTTAGCCAAGGAAAAATGACAATAAAATTAGCAATAATCAAGACTAAAATTGAATTCAAGGGTAAAAGGATCTAGGGCTATTGATTTCCCCAATTGCCGGATTAATTCTCAACTCTTTAGCTATAATCTCGCCGTAATACTCTATGAGGATTATGAGTTCCGGGCTACCGTAATTACCTTTCGATCAATTACGATAATTTACAAGAAGCATTCTCTCGAACTACTCTAGTTAACAATTTATGCAACTCAGAATCATCACACCAAAGTTTCGTTATTTCTAACCCCACTTTAAAATTCAAGTAACTAATCTCTTAACTTCCCCAAAAGTGGTGTTGTTCAACAACAATCTAACCAAGTGTTCTTTCTCAAGCAACACAAGGTGAATAGACACGATTAATCGAGGGCCCTTTCAATTAACCACAATACAATCCGTAATTGAACAATCATAGAACAAACACGGCTCAATTATAACAAAATAGAGTCAAGACTTCATCCAATAATTGGTTCCATCAACCCTAGATAACAGATTTAGCTACTCTTTCTAATGGAAAATAAATCACTAAAATAATTCATAATTAACAAATAGAAGTATCAAGAAGAAGATGAAAACTCTTAGGAATTTATCCGTCTTCTCCCCCTCGTTCTTGCCTCTAAAATCTTCTCAAAACAACTATCTCTCACTTCTGGGCGAGTTTAGGTTTCATATAAGTTTAGGTTAATCGCCTAGGAAATTACGTAATTAACCCTGCGTGTTTGGCTTTCGTCCGCCCGTCCGGGGCCGCGGATTAGACCGCGGATTTGGACTGCCTCGCTGCCTTGAGTTCGCGGCCCACTCCGCGGCCGCACACCTGGAGGGGTTGTTTCGCTTGCTTTTCTCGCTCCTTTTCGTCCGGGCTAACCTTCGATTTCCCTTTCACATTCCATGTTGACTCCACAACACGCGTTAGCTCCCTCCTAGCTCGGAGTAGCTCCTGCAAAGCATCAAATTTTTAATTAGAGCATTTTGTTATCTTTTAGCATTCAACTATCAATAAAGTGCGGCTAAATTAGAGTGTAAGTAGTATCTAAATTGCATGAATATAGCCTACTATCAACACCCAACACTTAAACCATTGCTCGTCCCCGAGCAATCAAACCACACTCTAAGAGGCTTAATTTCACTGAGCGACTTCCCTACTCGTCACACCAAGAATATTTCACATAAATTGAGTACATTAGTGCAACATCTACACCTCAAGAGTTGACTCCCTCTAGCCACGCAATGTTCCTAACTGGTTTACTTACTCTATATCAAAGGTCCATACTTACCTCTCATTCATGAATCAAGTGCCTGCTCATAACAAAAGAGACTCATTTCACAATCAATAAAATTCACACACACTGAGGAACTTTAAAAGGAACAGAATTCACTCACCCTTAGAAATGACATTCTTGTGCCACAGAAAACGCACTATAGGCTTGCCCGTAGTGTACGACTCTACTAATTGAGCTCACTCAGTCTAGGATCAAGTAGGACTTTATTTGGATGTGATGTAGATTGTAGGTTGGGTAGGATATATTTGGATATATAATAGTGACTATACCTCACTAAGCACTTTAATACATTTATTTTACAATCAAGTCCACACCTAAGTTAAATCAATATTTTTTTTTAACACCACATATACCACCCCCACACTTCTTCTTTGAGCACAATCACCTTAAAAGCCACCAAGGATTTATTACCAATCAACATGATACACTATTACCAATGTTCTTCTCTTTTTTTCTCTTTTTTTTTTCAAGTGGCCTTTTCCAACAAGATTTACCTTTCTCCTTATTTCCTAGTTCCACTCAAAAGCTCCATCAACTACCCCACACTNTATATATATATATATAGTTCAATAAAAAATGCTTATATCACTTCCCAGATTAAACAAGACTACCATTTCACTTTGTAGACACACAGGGCAAGTTCTAGGCGTTAAATGTCGTGCACAGAATATAACAAGCCTCCCACACATATGGCACATGACTCATTCCATATTAGATCATCAAACACTCAGATCATGGTATTTCAACCAAATTAAGAATATACATTCTAAGGCCTTCTTACAAGAATCAACAAATGAGCCTAAGCGACACACTAAAGTAACCGCTATATTCAAGGCATTACAAAATCAAACAAGGCTTCATATTTTAATTCTGCCCATAGCCCATAAGTTTCTAACTAAAAAAAATAAAAATCTAACTACACCCGGTTCAAACAAAACCCTTGAAAAAGAACCGTGATTTGAAGAAAAACCAAGGGGGAATTGATACACTACTACAAAAGAAAATCTTTTTTTTTTCCGACTTTAGTCCCTCAAGAAACCCATCGAATGATATCCATCGTTGGGTCAAGTCGAAATTGATTTATACAAATAAACTATGAAACTATCTACCTACAACAAAGTATCCCACACTTAAAAAGATGGCATGTCCCCATGTCATACAAAATAAAGTAATGTGAGGTAAAGGAACTTCCCTGGTGGATCAGTCTTGATCGGAAACAGTGCCAGGGTCAAGATGACATGCTCTCCCCAGCGCACGCATCCATCCCATGATTTTTTTTTGTGACTTCGCATTTTGGGTTTCCAAAGCATCAACTCTGGTCCCCAATTCCATGACGAAAGTGCGCAGTCCTGCCATGTCTTGTTCTAGGGCTATCATTCGCGTGCTTCGTCTGACCTGGGATGGTCCTTCAGCCACTGCAGCTTGTTCCTGTGGGGGTGAGGCGGGTTCAACCTCCTCCTGCCCTTCGTCGCCCTCTTCTGACGCATTAGAATCGTCACTATAAGCTGCTCCTGGTGCCACCGGGTCTTTCCCGATGGTCACATTGTCTGCCCGGAACTTTGCTTCTTCTTTACCATGCCATCCGCATTTGGGTTCTCAGGCACCCATGCTGCCCGGCACAATCTAGTGATCAGAGAGGGGAAAAAGAACCCATACCTTTTCTGTGTTGAATGGACAAACTTCTCAGACTGAAGAACCTTGGCCACATCAAAGTCGTGGCCATTCACGAAGGACCATATCAAGGCTGCTCTCGGACCATTTACCTCTGTGGTGTTGTGGGACGGCAGTAAGAGACCGTTGATAATGTACAACCAGCATTTTCCTTCAAAAGTGAGTGAGGAAGAGTGTAGCTTCGATCCCGGCACAACCCACACTACCTCTTTGTCTGGTGCACAGATAGTTCTGAAAAACCTGTTCTGTGTGATGGGTTCTCTCCTGTAAGTATCATAGAAATCCTCCTCCCCATTGAATTCAGGCAATCGATACACTCTCCTGATGGCTTCTAACGAGGCATTCACCCTCATGTGTTGCACAGTGCATATGTTATCCTCATGTTCGGGGCAGTTGGCATAAAACTCCCTAAAAACACCTATCTCCCACTTTTGGGCGAGTTTAGGTTTCATATAGGTTTAGGTTAGTCGCCTAGGAAATTACATAATTAATTCTGCGTGTTTGGCTTTCGTCCGCCCATTCACGGCCGCGGATTTGGACTGCCTCACTGCCTTAAGTTTGCGGACCAGTTCGAGGCCCACTCCGCGGCCGCGCACCTGGAGGGGTCGTTTCGCTTGCTTTTCTCGCTCCTTTTCGACCGGGCTAACCTTCGATTGCCCTTTCATATTCCATGTTGACTACACAACACTCGTTAGCTCCCTCCTAGCTCGGAGTAGCTCCTGCAAAGCATCAAATTCTTAATTAGAGCATTTTGTTATCTTTTAGCATTCAAATATCAATAAAGTGCG